CATTTCGATTGCAATAACTAATAATCTAGAGTAGTTGTTCCTTTTAATGTTCTTATCAATTATGCTATGCTTCTAATGCAGATCGAAGGAGCCTTTATACAAGGTTTGGGATGGGTAGCTCTAGAAGAACTTAAGTGGGGTGATTCTGCTCATAAGTGGATCTCACCAGGTTGCCTCTACACATGTGGACCTGGAAATTACAAAATTCCTTCCATAAATGATGTCCCCTTCAAATTTAGCGTTTCACTTCTGAAGGTATGCTCATTACCCTGTAAGGGCATTTATAAATTATAAATTACTTCTGAAGTTAATTTGTCTGATCAAGTTATGGGTGGGATTCAGTATGTCTGTCTTAACATGTCATCTGACAACTTCTTTTCTACTGAAAAGCGTTAATTAAAACTAAAGGCAACTTATAATTTACCAGACTAGGTGCTTGATACAAGATGGTGTCGGGAATTTTTGTCTGCGGTGTCTGCGTAAAGAAATGGTGTGGGGTTGATTAAATATATTGTGAGAAAATGGGGCTTAATGTGGTTGGTTGATTAATTATTGTGTAGAAATCCTTGAACCAAATAGAAGTGCATAATTATGCAGGGCGGCAGAAAAAAATTGGAAAATGAAGGAGAGAGAAAAGAGAACGCATGAATTTATGGAAATTATTTTGCTCTCTCAAAAGCTTCTATTTAGATTGGCTGATTACTTTTCTGTTTTCTGTTAGGATAGCTGCTGTTATGTTATTTGTTGTGCTCTCGATATTATGTTTCTTGTAGTTAGAGGGTGATATCTTTTGCAGACTCCCGATCCACTTTGACTGTACTTCCCAATTTTAATATATCCATTGTGTATCCTATCCCAAAATTAAAAATTAAAAACTATCAAACTTGGATGGAAGCTGTTTAGGATTTCATTTATTAGAACATCAAACCTCCCTCCCCCTCCCCATCTGTTTTTATTTTTTCGATGCTAAGTTATGCCATACGGTTTAAAAACAGGTGACCCAACATTTTTTCGAGGGCTAAGTTAAGCTGCAATTCTTTAATTTACATTTGTAATTATAGAAATTGAAATTACTTGGCTCTAATGATTGATTTCAACCTAAAGCAAGTAACAGTCTTGACCTGTTTGACGTTTTCTTTGCTAATTGACAGGGACATCCAAATGTGAAGGCGATCCACTCATCCAAAGCAGTTGGTGAGCCACCATTTTTCTTGGCTACGGCTGTCTTTTTTGCCATCAAAGATGCAATCATAGCTGCGAGAGCGGAAGTAGGGTCTAAGGAGTGGTTTCCACTAGATAATCCAGCGACGCCTGAACGAATACGGATGGCTTGTTTGGATGAAATTACTGCAGGAATTATTAGCTCAGACTTCCGCGCCAAGCTTAGTATTTGATTGTTAGTTTCTGTTTTCCTGTAGTTAGTGTACACTACTGGTATATACTACAGTACAGACTAATACTATAACAGACTGTATAGTCCTTCTCATGTTTCTACCAACCAACCAATTACAGGATATGCATGTAATATGTGTAAATCAGAAGTATTATGATGATTAAATGATTATAATAAAAAGCAATAATTGTGAATAGTTTTGTATTATGGTGACATTATTTGGTATCAGGAAACCTTCAGTTTACTATCCTTCTCTCATTGTTATTATTATCATCACCACCTCTTTAATAGACTTGGTCGCTTTCATTCTCTATTTTCTAAGGAGTCAATATTTTTATTTTATTTTTTGGAGAATGAGGAAACAGTATTTAAGTATCAAGTAGGTGATTGACGTAACATAATTTGGAATGCATGAATTTTTCAAATTAGTCGACAGTGTGGAAATGAGAAATTCTGTCTTTTTGGATCTTTAGAGTGAATGTAATGAAAAGTCTTTTCATCTTGTGTAAAGTTTTTGTTAAGGTCAGTCGTTCACGTGGTTTTTTATTGTTGATTAGATCGATTTACATGCATTAACAGTTATAAATTGCCCATGTGTGCATACACTTTATATGCATAAACGGTTCTCATGTACGTATAGACGATTGGCCGTAGCATATCTTTCGTCACAGAACACATAACTTTGCTTCTTCCACATTTCTCTTTGCATTCCATTATCCATATCACAACCAAGCAAGAGACAGCTGTGGTGATTAACAAGTCCCAGATGCAGTGCAGGCTGCAACTGCGGGGTAATTTAAAAACAATAGTAATAAGCGAGTAATAAACCGAGTTGTCATATCATGCATGACATTTCCTAACGAACATGGCATGACATAACATTTGCAGTTGAACTTATATTTTAATTCTTTCTTTAATATATAACCAATACATGACCTTATCTTCTTCACCAACAAAAACAAAAACTTCCTTATCTTGATGTATTGCCAATTTATTTCATTCTTTGTGAATTTGGCACGATGGTTCTACAGAAAAAATAATTATTCAGTTTGTGTAGACTTATAACGTGTGTAAAACAACGATTTACAAGCCTTTTTAGTTTATTTATTTTCTCTGAGAAACTTTAAAGTAATTTCCCACTTTTATTTTATTTTCTGTTCTCTCTTTAACTAATTCTTGTAGCTCCCTATATTAGGAGAGGGCCGAATAGTAGTAATTTTTCTTCTGTCATTCGAAAAACTATAAATTTGTTTTCGTTTGAATCCAAAGATCATGCTTTTGCCTTCATCCATATGAAGAGTGTTTTTGAAACAGTCTATTGGCTAGAAATTATTTTAATGTCTTTTCCTCATATTGCATATATTGCCTTCTAGATGCACAGGCAAAACCATGTTTACTCAATCCATAAACTTTTGGGAAAAAAAATTCCATAAACTTGAATAAAGAAACAACAAATTTAGTTTTATAATTTGGAAAACACATAGCTTTGATAGCGTGCCAAAAGATGTAAGCTCGCCAACGGGGTCTAGCACAGTGGAAAAGGGCCTTAACTTACAGACGAGTGGTCTCAAATTCGATCTCCATGACACCTTTGTAGTGATCTCAAATTTTGGGAAGGCTTAAAGTAGAATATTTGTATTGGATTTTAGCTCCATAAAAATGCTTGGACTCGGCCTTTTGTAGATTATATAGGATTTTAGGTTGGACAGTTTCATGAGTAACGTGTTTATACATTATGACGATCAAGAAAGCTTTTTTTAATAGTTTAGTACATATTCCTTACATGTTAGTACTTTTTTCTAATAATGCATTTCATATTATGCCATTGTAACATGATTAATTTGCTAAGACCTCCCTGTAGAAAAACACAAGTCATATTAAAAAAAGAAGAAAAAAAGAAAAAGAAAAAGGAAGCAAATTGACTTTATACATCTGTGACAGGGAAAGCTGAACCTAATCACTCGGTTATTTCTACACAAACCATTAAACAATACAGGAAAACGTTAAACTGAAACTTTATTGGCAATTTGCTGGGAAGCCTTCAACATATTAGTGCTGGCTGGAAAATTCTGGTAAGAAACAATGCAGGCATTTGTTATATTTTGCCAGTGAGCTTATTGGCTGTTAGACTTTAGTGACAATGATTTACTAGAAAATATGCAAGTGCAGGTATGTACAAGTAAATTTGCAAGACTACTTCAGAATCAGATTGCTGATGAAATTGATTTATATTTTAACATCAACCAAAGTTTGATACGTTCTAAATTCAGTCGGAAGGTTCCTAAAATGAACCTAATCTCAACTACTTCCTCATACAAATTCAGAATTATATTTATATTCACGATTTATTTGTCAAACAGTGTGATTGTTTTATGTATTTTATAAGTTTCCCAGTTCTGCAACTCGTTTTGCATTATTTGGTCTAGACCGTTTCAAGGTGCATATGCATGAAGACTATTGTGCAAGGCTAGAAGGAGAGTGGGATACCATTATCTAATTGTTTAATATTTGGACAAAGAAATGAGAAAATCTGCAGGATTTTGTGTTATTGGTTTGTTAGAGGTTGGAAACTTCATACAACATTAAACAAATGCTTCTGTTTTTGAAGGGATCACTATATAAGCTGCGTAGTTCTCCTCAGTTATCATTCACAAATAACTTCTCAGTGATTAAGAGTTTGCTCAAAATGGCCAATCTTTGGCCAAGCCTGGTTTTTGCCTTGGCTATATGCTTCATAGCCACCAATGTAGCAGCTAGTGATGACAAGCCTTACGCTTATTCATCTCCTCCACCACCAGATTACTACAAGTCATCCCCGCCATGGTATCACCACTACGAAACTCCACCGTATTACTACAAATCACCACCACCACCTTCACCATCACCTCCTCCTCCATATGTTTACAAGTCACCTCCACCTCCCTCTCCATCACCACCCCCTCCTTACATTTATAAGTCCCCTCCTCCACCATCTCCATCACCTCCTCCTCCTTACGTCTACAAGTCACCGCCACCTCCTTCTCCATCACCACCCCCTCCTTACATTTATAAATCACCACCACCACCCTCACCATCACCTCCCCCACCATATATTTACAAGTCCCCTCCTCCTCCTTCCCCATCCCCACCCCCTCCTTACATTTATAAATCACCACCACCACCCTCACCATCACCTCCCCCACCATATATTTACAAGTCACCTCCTCCTCCTTCCCCATCCCCACCCCCTCCTTACATTTATAAATCACCACCACCTCCCTCACCATCACCTCCTCCACCATATGTGTACAAGTCACCTCCTCCTCCATCACCATCACCTCCTCCACCTTACATCTACAAGTCACCACCACCACCATCTCCATCACCTCCCCCTCCTTACGTCTACAAGTCACCACCACCTCCTTCTCCATCACCACCCCCTCCTTACATTTATAAATCACCACCACCACCCTCACCATCACCTCCACCACCATACATTTACAAGTCACCACCACCTCCGTCTCCTTCACCTCCTCCACCTTATGTCTATAAGTCACCACCACCACCTTCTCCATCCCCGCCTCCTCCTTACGTTTACAAATCACCACCACCACCCTCACCATCACCTCCCCTCCATCTCCATCACCTCCCCCTCCTTATATTTACAAGTCACCACCTCCTCCTTCTCCATCCCCACCTCCTCCTTACATTTATAAATCACCACCACCTCCCTCACCATCACCTCCTCCACCGTATGTGTACAAGTCACCTCCTCCTCCATCACCATCACCTCCTCCACCTTACATCTACAAGTCACCACCACCACCATCTCCGTCACCTCCTCCTCCTTATGTATATAAATCACCACCACCACCTTCTCCATCACCCCCACCTCCATACGTTTACAAGTCACCACCACCCCCATCTCCATCACCACCTCCTCCATACGTTTACAAGTCACCACCACCACCATCTCCACCACCACCACCTCCATATGTTTACAAGTCACCACCACCTCCATCCCCATCCCCACCTCCTCCTTACGTCTACAAGTCACCGCCTCCACCATCTCCTTCACCTCCTACACCATATTATTACACGTCACCTCCACCACCCACTCATTACTAAACAAATTGAATTTCTCTTCTCTTCATGTAAGGGTGTGACCTAATTAGAAGTTTATGCATACATTTCTCTTAACTCGTATTCCTACAAATCATGTTTATTGAACTTTTAACTGTTCTTCATTTTTTTAATTGTCAATATTGTTTCTCATTGCAGGTTATAGATTGGTAAAACAAACAATTGCTGCAAGAGAGAGTTTTATCCTGGTGACTTCGATGCATCTGATCAATCTAAAATGCGCCCTGAAAACTGCGCTTGAGAATAAGAGGCTTAGCATGGACGTTGTCTTTGCAGCTTTCATGCAACTTATGGTTTAATTATTTACTTTTGTTGTCATACACGAGATAGGTTACTTGTGATTTCTTTATGTGGGCCATTTTGGTTACATACGCTGAAATTTGTTGTATCAATTGAATAAACATCTGTTCATTCTGTATAATTTATTAAAAGCCTTGAATATTCAGAAATTAATAAATTGGAGCGCCTATAATTACTTAAAGGCCTCTCTCTCTCTCTCTCTCTCTCTCTGATTCAAAGAGAAAACAAGCTTTTTGCTACCCTTGAATCAAAGCTTCTCAGCCATGATATCCGAATAATTTAGTATGCCACTTGACCTTGATGAAACTCTGTCCCAATTTTACATTTTGATTTGCTGTGGTGTGAGAGTGTATTAGGATGTACTAGGGGTATTTTTGGTAGTTAAAATAGGGTGTACTTGCTTAATTTTACGTTTTGATTTAAATATTATGATGTATTTAGATCATAGCGTGTGCTCAGTTAATTTTAGAGTTCGGTTAACAACTTGTCCCAATTACACTAATAGGGCATGGAAATAAATGTCAACACCGGTCAGTTCTTTTTTTTTTTTTTGGTCTGAATCAAACAGTCAGTCATAGGACATCCCCTTTTGCCTTAATGTAATTATCTCAAGTAATATTTATTTTGTTAGAGTTTGTGTTTATTTGGGTATGAAAATGAAGAAAGAATAAAACAATGATGAATGAAGAGTTCTCCTTCTCTCTGCAGAAAAGCAGAGAGGACTATATTTCTCTTAATGAAAAAATGAGCACGCAAAAGAGCATCTCATAATTGTTAGCCTTAGCTGGATCCACACACATCATATTAGATAGCAGCCTCACATCTAGCTATTCTTAAAGTTGCTACATATGGCTATTTTAGCCTTACATATTGAAGGCCTCTCACTTGTCATTTATCAGACTAAATGCATACACAATTTAAACACAAGGCTTATTTATCCTAAACTCATATTAGCTCAATGCTTATACACTAACACTCCCCTTTAAGCTTTGAGCTGATATAACTCCAAGTTTATCTCTGAGGTAATTGAACCTTTCCTTCGGTAAAGCTTTGGTAAAGATGTCTGCTATTTGATCCTTAGTAGGACAATAGACCATATCAATAATACCTTGCTGCAAAGCAACTTTGATGAAGTGGTACCTTTTGTCAATGTGTTTTGTCTGTTGATGAAACACTGGATTCTTAGTTATTGAAATTGTAGATGTATTGTCACACTGCAAAAGAGTTGCTTCTGTTTGTAGTTCTCCAAAATCCTCCAAAACAAATCTGAGCAAGATAGCATGTGCTGTAGCTTCTGATGCATTGATATACTCTGCCTCCGCAGTTGAAAGTGCAACACAATTCTCTGCTTAACAGATACCCATGAGAAAACTCCACTTCCAAATGAGAAAACATAGCCGGATGTGCTTTTGCTATCATTAATGGAACCTCCCCAGTCACTGTCACTGTATCCAATTAGGACTGCTTTCTTGCCTTTCTCATACTTTAAACCATAATCTAGTGTCCCTTTAACATATCTGAGCACTCTCTTGGTTGTCCCATAGTGTTTGTTGGTAGGACAATGCATATATCTAGCTAGTAAACTAGCTGCATACATCACATCCGGCCTTGTAGCAGTGAGGTATAACAAACTTCCCACAATCTTTCTATATTTTTCTTCACTTGCTGCACCACTTCCATTATCTTTGCTTAATTTCTCAATAGCAACAAGAGGGATGGAGACAGATTTGCACTCTTTCAAGCCAAATTTATCCAACAAGGAAGAAGCCTACTTCCTTTGATGAATGAAAATGCTTGAATCAGTTTGTATCACTCACATTCCTAGGAAATGATGAAGAAGTCCTAAATCTGTCATTTTCATATTTCACCTGCATATCTTCTTTGAATTCTTTCAACATTTCTTCATTGCTTCCAATATATACTATGTCATCCACATAGATAGACACAATTAGGATTTCTTTATCTCCCCTTGTCTTAGTATAGAGAGTTGCTTCACTCAAGCTTTTCTCAAATCCACACTGAATGAGATAGTTGTCAATCTCTCCATACCAGGCTCTAGGTGCCTGTTTTAGTCCATAAAGGGCCTTGTGCAATCTGTAGACCTTGTCCTCCTTGCCATCAAGTACAAATCCCTCAGGTTGGTCAACATACACCTCTTCTTGTAATTTTCCATTCAAAAATGCAGATTTAAAATCTAGTTGGTACAACTTCCAGCTTCTTTGTGCAGCAAGAGCAATCAAGGTTCTAATTGTATCTAATCTAGCAACTGGAGCAAAAGTTTCATTGTAGTCGATTCCTGGTTTCTGCACATACCCCTTGGCAACCAACCTTGCCTTGTTCTTTTGTACTGAGCCATCCAAATTCAGCTTGGTTTTGAACACCCATTTCACTCGAATGACTTGCTTATCACTTGGCCTATCTACAAGCTCCCAAGTTCCATTTTTCTCAATCATTGACAGTTCTTCTTCCATTGCTTTTATCCAGGCCTTGTCTTATGCAGCTTCTTCATATTTCTCAGGTTCTACAATACAAAGATTGCACTGTGCCAGAATGTCACTTATATTTCTCCACTTCACTAGAGTATGATCATAAGGTTGTGAAATCTTTGCTAACTCATGGATGATCATTTCTTGTTCTTCAGTATGTGAAGGACTATAGGGACTAAAGGGACTTTCTTCAATTTCACTCAACCCATGTGAATTCACACCAAGCACATTTTCAGATTGATTCTGAATGTAGGTCATAGCAACAAAATTCTCTGAATTTTCCTTCCAATTCCAAGACATAGTTTCATCAAAAACTACATCTCTTGACAACATTAACTTCTTAGTGCATGGATCAAATATCCTATATCCCTTCTCACATGTTGCATATCCAACAAACACACCTTTGACACTCTTTGCATCGAGCTTTTGTCTTATCTTAGTTGGTACATGCACATAACAGAGCGATCCAAACACTTTTAAATGACCAATACCTAGTTTTCTGCCACTATAGGCCTCAAATGGAGTTAGATTGCCAAGAGCTTTTGTAGGTGACCTTTTTAGAATATAAATAGTTGTATGTACAACTTCTGCCCACAAAAAGTATGGCATACTTTTATCATGAAGCATTGCCTTAGCCATCTCTACAACTGTTCTATTCTTTCTCTCCACTACTCCATTCTGTTGTGGGGTATAAGCCATAGATAACTGTCTTTGAATTCCTTCAGTCTCTAAGAACCTGTCGAACTCATTTGACACAAACTCACCCCCTCTGTCACTTCTGAGACACTTCACTTTGAAACCACACTGTAATTCCACCATTGCTTTGAACTTTCTGAAACAATTTAGAGCTTCAGATTTGTGTCTAGGGAAATAAACCCATGACATCCTTGTGTGATCATCAATAAGAAGCATAAAATATTTGTTCCTTGCAATTGATTCATTTTGCATGGGACCACACAAGTCAATGTGTATTAGCTCCAGTGGAAACCAATCTGGATGTTGTTTTCCAAATTGGCATCCTTCACGTACACCATCAACATCTTCAAGATGTGGAAGACCATGGACCATCTCATTCTCTCTAAGCTACTTAAGACTCTTGAGATTGAGATGACCTAGCCTCTTGTGCCAAGTCCAGGTACAAGGAGTGATACTTGATCTTAACATCATTTGATCATTATGCATTAAGTGCAGAGGATAACATCTGTTCTCTTTCATTCCCACTTTTATAACCAAGCTGTCAAGTGATGGTCCATCAAAAACACTGCATACTTTTCCTCCAAACAGCAAGTAATACCCATGCCCATCCATCTGACCAAAACTTAGCAAGTTCTCCTTCAACCCTGGTAAATACATCACCTCTCTGATATATTTCCTTCCTTTAGTTGTATCAATCACAAGAGATCCCATTCCTGCCACATTAACTAGATCACCAGTTGGCATTTGCACTTTCCCGGCTAGTGCCATATTGGTTCTCACATCAACAAGACGATTGACATTTCCTGTCATGTGGTTGCTGCATCCACTGTCAATGTACCAATTTCCATTCACCTTTGCTTATGTAGTTACACAATTGGCATAAAATAGATTACCAGATATCTCCACTTGATTTGCACAGTTAGCCTTGTGCACAAATTTTCCTGCAGTGCACTCTCTAGCCAAGTGATCAAATCTGTCACAATTGTAACACTTTGGCTTGCCTATATAGATATAAAGGCAAGCTTCTTGATTTGCACTGAGGCTTTACAGCTTCTTGATTTGCTGGCTGTGATGAACTGAAGCTGTGATTTGGTGCATGATTGTTCTGTTGAGACTTTCCTTTTGACTCCCATGGTTTCCCCTTAGGATTCCAATTCTTTTGAGACTTAAGACCACTGGATTGAGAGTTACCCTTGTTTTGTTGCCCTTTTGAGCTCACAGAGAAGGAGGCAAATGCCTTATCAGTAGCATCAACAGTGTGCATATCAAAACGCTGTTCCTGGCTTTTAAGAATTGCTAGAACCTCCTGTAATTCATAAGTTTCTATACATTTCGCATTCTCAATCACAAGACAGATGAGATCATAGGATTTGCTAAGATTGATTAAGACCTTTTGCACAAGTCTTGCATTAGATAACACTTCACCAAACGTCTTCATTTGGTTAATCAGTTCATTCAGACATGTAAGATACCCAGATAATGTTTCATCATCACGTATTCTAGTATACTCAAATTCACATCAAAGATTTTGGAGTTTAACCGACCGTACCTGATCACCACCGTGGTATTCTTTATATAACAGTTCCCATGCCATCTTTGCTAAATCGGCGTTGGCAATTCAAGGGAATATTTGATCCGAGACTGCACTCTAGATAATACCCAGAGCTTTTGCATCTTGCATATATGCAGCCACAGTTTTCTCATTGTCTTCCTCTTCTGAGCTTCCTTCATCTTTCTTCTTCTTCTTTGAATCTGAGGTCGTAACCCCTTTTTCAACTAATTTCCATAATCCATGAGATTTGAAAATCGTCACCATCTTGATTCTCCAGAACTTGTAGTTCTCACCGGAGAAGATCGGAGTTCTCACCTTAGAACTTCCAGATCCAGCCATCTCTTAGCTTAGATGCTGCAAACACAAATCGAAATCGGATTCTAAGGAGTTCCAGCGACTTCACCTGAACTGGAATGAGTGTGAATGTAGCTCGATTTCACAGTTTTGAAAAACGCCCAGATTCAATTGATCGAACTTGGCTCTGAGGCCATGTTAGAGTTTGTGTTTATCTGGGTATGAAAATGAAGAAGAAAGAATAAAACGATGATGAATGAAGAGGTTCTCTTTCTCTCTGCAGAAAAGCAGAGAGGACTATATTTCTCTTAATGAAAAAATGAGCACGCAAAAGAGCATCTCATAACTGTTAGCCTTAGTTGGATCCACACACGTCATATTAGATCTCAACCTCACATCTAGCTATTCTTAAAGTTGCTACATATGGCTATTTTAGCCTTACATATTGAAGGCCTCTCACTTGTCATTTATCAGACTAAGTGCATACACAATTTAAACACAAGGCTTATTTATCCTAAACTCATATTAGCTCAATGCTTATACACTAACATATTTTAGTGTAATGTAAATCACGTTTGGAAGATGTATTCTTTATAGTCACACATGATGAAAGATTGTGATCAGGCATACTTTGGGTCATCACGAGACCAGTGGGTAAAAATTGGGGGTCATCAACAAACCAGAGGATCCAAACGTTAAATAATTGGGATCATTAAAACCGCATAGTTAAAAAAAGGAAAAACATATGGTTTAGGTGACAGAGGGGATCACTCTACATTGAAATGATTTGTAAAAATTAAATTTGAGATTGCAGCCAAGAACCAAAACAGATCTAACCACTAAACCACACATATCCAAGCAGATCTGGGTAAAAACCAAGATCCAAAATAGATCTAGGCACAAATAACATCCCCCAACTAAAATCTCAAAGAGAGGATTGAGAGAAATGTTTTAGGGTTTATATTATTCAACTATCCTCTTTATTCGGTTCATTTTGAACATGACTTTACATCTCAACCATGATAATTTTTTTGACCAAGAAACTTTTGCAATTTCCAAGCATGGATATTCATATGCATGGCCCATTGGATTAACTACAACTAATTATTATTATTATGTTTGGATACACTAAAAAAAAAATAGCAACAATCACCGTTATTTGGTGACATTTGCTGGAGTGACTAAAGGCTTTAGTCGCCAAAAAGCTCCTTTAGTCACCCCAGTAAATATCACCAAATGTCACCAAATAATAGTAACTGTTGCTACTTTTTTTTTTAATAGTGATAAAAAGCGATAGAAATTTATTAGATCAAACGGACAAAAGGAATACGTTGAAATGATTTGTAAAAATTAAATTTGACATTGCAAGATTTTGTAGTTGATGGCGCAATGTGTAATTTGGGTCATACAAGGGGTTTAAAAGTGCAATTAACACTTACTGATTAGCTATCAACTTATCTGTCCTTTTTTTTTTTACTTATCTGTCCTTTCAACTAAAGAATTACGTACTCTTACTCTACAGAGAGATTAAATCACCCCCTAAGGGGGCGTTTGGTTCATGGGAAATGAATCTTGGGGATGGAACCAATTGCTTTCCCATGTTTGGTAAGTCAGGCATGGGAAAGCGTTGCCTAGCACATGGGAAAGTAGGAGGGAAAGTGAATCCTTCCTTCCTACTTGGGTTTCACTTTCCCTTCCCATGGGAAAGTAAGACTAACTTTTTTTTGACTAATTTGTCCTTACTAACAATTCATAATTACAATTTTTATCCAACAATTATTGGTATTTTTTTATTATTTTAATAGGGGTACAATTGGGAAACTAAACAAAATTTGTTTTCCATTCCTACTCAAAACAAACATGGGAAAGGAAATAAAGTGATATTTCCGGGTCACTTTCCCGGCATTACCAAACATGGGAAAGGAATCACCATTTCCCATCCCTTGGGAAAGGAATCACCATTTCCCATCCCTTGGGAAATGACATGGGAAATGGTTTCCCATCAAATTCATTCCGTGAACCAAACGGGGCCTAAATGTATTTGTCTCTCGACTGACTTGTCAAGCAAGTGGTGGCTCTGAAAGATACCTGTAGATGAGTTAAATATATATTCAAGGTTTACGCATGTGTTTGTTTTAGTAGGCGAGGAAGAAAATGAAACCAAAGGAAAAAAAGGGAGTTCAAAAACTTATACAACTATAGACTTCGATTTTATTTGAGAGGTCACCGCCTAAGTTGACTTGCATTGTCGTGTATGGGATTGGGATGCTTATCCCTTAAAAAGAAAAAAAAAGAAAAATATATATATACATGAACATATTTATATATATAAATAGAATAATATTTTCCATAGTCAGTATACATAATACAAACAGTTATTGTTTTACAGCTATGTGCAGAGAAGAAAATGAAATCGTTTTCATACTCATTAATTGACTAGTCAAACCAAAAATCCAAAACTTTGAGCTCATGATAGTCTGTCTATTACATCCCCAGTTACATTCTGCATTAGATAATGCTTGCGCTTTCATAAAAATGTAGCATACAATTTCTAACTGAGGAGGGTACGTGAGGTAGTATGTGCTTGGTCTAAAATTAAACAAAAAAATGTCTCGGACTGAGGCGGGTACATGCCCTTTCTAGACTTCATATAAGATGATTGATAATCACTTGAGCTATAAATTATCGATATTTAAGACTTTTTTTTTACAGAAAAACAAAGAGGCGGGCAACTTTAGTGCGACTCTTTACACATCAATTTTCAATTAGGTGTAGTAATTAGGCTTTTTCGATGTAAGACAAGGAACCAAGCAATAATTCAAATCATCTTTTCAACTTTACAAACATATGAAGTCTGATAGTTGAAAGTACAACTTATCTAGGGTCACTTTAATATTCTCGTCTGTTAAGTATTGTACACGCGGCAGCAAAATGCCTAGAGCATGCACAAATTAAGGACAAGATTGTAATATATTTTAGCTCGGAGGACTCAAATTGCTACATGAGAACATTAATTAAATCTGTTACAAAATGGTCACTTTTATTTAATTATTTAAAACGTTGATTGTTCTACAATAGTACAAGTAAAAAAATCTTCCTCAAACCTTCAATAATCATCTTTATCTTTTTTATTCAAGCGAATAGTCTAAATTACTTTAAATTAATCTAATTTATGGGTAATGATGAGGTCCAACTTGATTGTAAGAGAGCGGATTCACTACCTTAGCTAACTGGATGGGTAATAGATAAGCACTTTTTTGTGTTTTGATTGACGAACTCTTTTTTTTCCTTTTATTTTAACGTCCCTTTCAATAGGAGGTTTTTCTCAAATAATACTATTTATGGAGACTTTGTGCGAGCACTCCCACTATTCATTTATCCTTGCAAAATATTAGCTAAATGTTAGATGTTTTACTAGTTTCGAATTTGACTATCTTTTGCAATGATGATCCTTTCATGGGATTTCAGAAATACACGATTCAGATTGTCAACTTAAAATGCCAAGTGGACTCTATAAAGTGTCACCCAAAATAGAATCTCATGGATTTTCGTGTAGATCCAAACTGTCTATGATGTTTGATGAAGTGATGCATTATTGCACTTTAACTTTTCCACGAAGAAACACATAATTTTATTGATCCAAAAGGCTTATGTAATAGCATAACTACATAAAAACAAGTACGTATATGAAATACTCTTTGCTTTCATTTCTTTAAAAGAGGAAGGAATTAATACAGTGAGTTCTTACGACAGAATACACGAAGGGTTCTGTCGGACCTTTATTATTCACAAACACACTTGTCTGCGAATAGAACAAAGCTAGAAAACGAAGTGATACCGCGGGAACATCGAAACGAAGAACTTATTCGGACTGGTTCAAGTCGCTAAAAAGCCATCAAGCTTAGTATGGAGGTGGAGGTGATTTGTAGTGATATTGGGGAGGTGGGGATGACTTCACTGGAGGAGGAGGAGAGTTGTAGTGGTATGGAGGGGGAGGTGATGGGGATGGTGGTGGTGGTGACTTGTAGTGGTAAGGAGGTGGAGGGGAATGTGATGGTGGAGGTGGTGATTTGTAGTGGTAAGGAGGTGGAGGAGAGTATGATGGTGGAGGTGGTGACTTGTAGTGGTAAGGAGGTGGAGGAGAATATGATGGTGGAGGTGGTGACTTGTGGACATAAGGAGGAGATTTCTGGACGTAAGGAGGAGGTGGTGATTTAGAAGGGGGAGGTGGTGACTTGTAAGCATATGGTGGAGGTGGTGAGTGAGTGGGTGGTGGTGGAGATTTGTGCACATAAGGAGGAGGCGGCGAATGAGAAGGCGGTGGTGGAGACTTGTTATAATAGGGTGGAGGGGGTGATGGTGATGGAGGTGGTGGATGTTTTACATACTTTGGTGGTGGAGGGGTCTCCAAGTGCTTTGGTGGTGGAGGTGGTGAAGAATAAGTATAAGGCGTAGTGGCAAGCGCACTTGTGGCCAAGAGGCACAATGCCAAGGCAAAAAACATTGTAGGGCAATGCCTCAGCTGTCCTGAGGTTCTCATTTCTGCCAGAAATTATAGTTCTTAGAACTTGTTTTGTGAGTGAGGTGGTTGGAAATGGTGAGAAAGCTATCCCTTTTATAGCAGTCTTTGACATCATCTTTGAATAAGACATGTTTGCGTATTCAGCATAATTGGCTGGATTGATGCTTTAAGTTTTCTACCAAATGTGACTTTGAGATTTTGATATGCCAATCAGTTGAACTCGCACGCTTCAACCAGTGATTTTGGGTTCCCACAAAGATTTTTCAACTTTGATCTTTCATGAAGGCCATGTACAAGTCAAATCGTGTGGTAGGTAAGTGTTGTACGGCTGGAGAGTGAAAATAAAAAGGGTTGGTCTTTTCTCCAGCAATTAGTGAAATAATAATAAATATATATGGTAAAAAAGGTAAAGTTCGAACGCGCATGCATGTAACTGAACAGTTTGATCCATTATGAAAAATACTTTGCTGGATAATCAAAAGTGCTTAGCTAATTAAAAGGTGTAAAGCTTTTCATCCATTAACATTAGAGTTTTGCTTCATAAAAATAAATAGGGTTACATGCCTTTTTGGTCATTGGGTTTTACACAGAAATTCAATTTGGTCACTGAGAAAAAAATTTAGCCAAATTGATCACTGTGTTTCCAAAAGTTTACAATTTATAGACATTTCGTTATCTACCGTTTAACTTCCATTAAGTTCAGTTTTTATTTTTATATTTCCAAGAAGCACATTCAAGTCTTCTTCCTCTAACTCGCTAACTCAACCAATTAGATTATTGTGCTATAAGAGTTTTTAAAATGGGGGGAAATCTTGGGTTGAAATTAAAATGAAGAGGTATAAGGTCACGAATTTGGTATTATATTGAAGCCTGAATCGATTGAGTGAGAACCGTATTGTGACTTCGGTTGATAAGGAGACACAATCAAGGTGATAGAGCACCAAAATATATTGGTAAGTTGTTGATTTCATTTTAATTTAAGAGTTGGCCTTTTGATTTTCCTTATACCTCACAATTTCGATTTCAACCCAAGATTTTCCCCAATTTGCTAAACTCTAATAGCACAATATACCATAACTCGTTGAGTTAAAGGAAGAAGATTGAAGGTGATTCCTTTAAAAATAAAAATAAAAACTGCATTTAACGAAAGATAATGGAATGTCTATCAATTGTAAACTTTGGGAAACACAGTGATCAAATTTGGCTAAATTGTTTTCTCAGTGAACAAATTGAATTTTTGTGTAAAACCCAATGACCAAAAAAGTATTTAACCCAATAAATAAACCCTCATTGTACTTTGCCAATTGAATTTTTGGATTTGAATTGCCGAACTCAATTAAGGGCCCTTAATGTTTTTGCATTAGTTAATTATTAGTCCTTATATATACTATTACTAGAATGCTTTGTATGTGAGACAATTATTGCTCGAGAAGTAGATAATGAGAAATAGTGACAAAAAATAGTGGGAGAAACATATGAAGGATTTTAGTTTGTTTTATTTTATTTTATTTTAGAATAACTGTTAATAACTATTTTACCGTCACTATATTATCTTTTTCTTTATTCAATGTAATGTAAATAGGAGCATAGTTGGCATTTTGTCAAAAGTGATCGACTCTTAAATAATAGTATAGATTACTACATGACTTAAAAAACTATAAAGAAGAGATCGAGTTGCACCAAAGAATTAAAAAGAGAAAATTCTTTTCCCAACCTGGAGTCATAAGGTTTAAAGATACAGTTTAGTGTATGACTGAGGAACTTTTGGCCGGTTTCACCTCATCCATATTCATGAGAGCTAGAAAAATAAATCTTTTAAAAATGTGTTACTTCTATTCCAAATTAAGATTGAGAACCTGAAAAGCAATTGTGCCATTCGAATTCTCTAGTAATAAAACCAACCTAAGTTTTTCTCCCAAAAAAAAAACCCAGCCTTGTGATTTGGCTTTCATTGGAATCTTTGGTGACAATGAAGTAGCAATGCGCTGGTGGTTTCATTGCTGAACTTAGAGACAAACGAGGTGGCTTAGTGGTTTAGCGACTTTTACTCACTTGTTGTTGTGTGTTTATAGATTCTTGAGTTATAATAATGTCATCAACTCTTGTAAGTTGGGTGTTTGTTTGTAGTCTAGGTTCTACTTGTTATTTCTACTTGTGAGAGTTTAAAAGTTGTAGTTGTGTTGGTAGTTTTACACATTGCAGTTCATGTTTGTCTTAGGCAGCCCTACATTATGCAGAAATTTCTTTGGCATTATGTGGCTATTAATTAGTGGAGATACACCTTGTACGCTGAATGTTATCGGTACTGTGTGTTTTTATGTATCTAGATTAACCCTGCGAGCTTACTATGCTTCCATCTTTGTATTAACTATTTGTGGATATTTGTATTCAGAAAATGATTTTTGTGCCCTAATTTATGAATATAATTATCATTTTCTTATAAAAAAAATGAAAAAAGAAAGGTCAAGCTTGCATTTAATGTATGTGTCCCACTGTGTGTGTCTCATTAGACTTCGCAAGTAGTGGGTCAATATATATATATATAATATATCTCTACTTCTAGAAAAGTTTGAAATTTATTAGATTGAAAGTCTCATGCATGTTTGTACGTATTCGTCGGCGAGGAGGAAAAACAAATGCAAAGAAAGAAAAACAAATCCAAAGAAAGAAAAACAAGGGAAACTTAGCTAAACGTATATATCGACTGCAGACTTTGTTTCAATTCTAACCAAAACAAAAAAGGGACTCTCGATTCCAACTAAGAGGTCACCGCCTACGTTGACATTGTCGTGTATCGATGCTCATCTAACTCAACCTTTCGATTATCCTCAACAAATAAGAAAACACAAAAATGAGCCAAAGAGATAGGCAAAAATATTTCCCTTCTCAGTTTTAGACAATACAAAAACAACTCATTCTGTACACATCTATGTACAATTTAAGGAGATTATCCTTCCCAAAGAAACAAAAATTTCAATTCCTGTTTAGTATTTTGTGATTTCACTTGTAAGGTATGTTTGCCCCTATTCTATCTGTTTATACCATAATCAACCTCACAGATTTGACATTGAGGGACTGGTACACAGGCTTAGCCCACCAACTGCCGAAGAGGAGGAAATACTAAAACCGCTGGTTCAGACTCCTGATGACGTCATCATGACCAAAGGTACCGAAAGGACACCCTTCTCTAATTAAACGATAGCCTGCCGAAGGGCCTTACTGAAGATCAAGCTCGCAGAACCAAATCTTGAGACACATGTCATCACCACAGTGATTTGCCCAAAGTCCACATCCACTCCCTTTTGCTTATAAAATGGGAATAGTGCTAAGGTAAAAAGGTAACTAATCTTTACCCACACCCTTACTCTACCAAAATTACATTTTACCCTATACTTTGCTAACTTACACTCAACAACTATTATGGATGAAGCCATGCCCAAGACCCTTCAGTGCACGCATTCGAACATATAAGCATGAGAAGTACATTCAGTCCCTTCGCATAGCCTTTTACACTGGTATAGAGTATCCATTGACTCATATCCACTTCTTTCAGTCCGCGTTAGGGTGTAAAAGTCTTAGTCATGAAAGCTTGTGTCTACTCTTCCCTTCCACCCATATCAGAACTGCCTTGAACTGGTTTTATAGGCTGAATTCAGACACTTAGACTATTTGAATTGTGTGAAGCAGTGAATTCAGACACTTAGACTATTTGAATTGTGTGAAGCAGATTTTCTAGATCATTTCATGATCTAGACTGATCAGTTGTATTCGGCAAATGACTTGTATATGATTTGGTAGGGTGAAGATGAACTTCTTTAGGAGTATGTAACACGCTTCAGTCATGAGTACTCACAATGCCCGGAGACGGATGATCGTGCCGCCTTCGGCGCCTTCCAGAGTGGTCTTCGTGAGTCTAACTTTCGATACTTAGTGTACAATAAACCTTGGAACACTTATGCCAAATTAATGAAGTAAGCCCCTATTCATGCGAAAGTGGAATACTTCAACTCAAAGAGTGGCCCAGTTGATCGGGAGCATGCTACCTTCAGTGACCTGCTGCAAGGTTCAGCACCTAAAGACAATATGTACCCCTACCACCTCCATCAAACCACCAGAATCCTAATCATTACTCTTCCACTAATGACGCCACGCTCAATCAAAACTTTAAACAAAAAGATGGTTACCAGCGGCCCTTCAACAACTAAAAGCATGAAAAGGGCCATCAATTAACACAACAACTATTGTTCTGGAGGCATGCTTCACATAAAAGCAGTGATCACACACCTCTGCTCTTTGACCCCAAGCCTTGGTATGAAGTCTTCACCACGTTGAACCCAACTTATGAGCAAGGTTTGGTCAACGAGCCTCCTATGATCCCTAAGCCTCCTGCCAGAAGGCCTGTTGACAAACCTGAACCAAATACTAGTGTCTTATGCACCAACTCAACGGACATGATACGAGACATTCTTAATTTTAATGATTAGGTACCTTGACTTTGAAATTTTTTCACAATGTGGTTATGCAGTTAAGGTACCCCATTTACCCTTTTTTTTTTTCTCTCTTTTTCTTTCTTTGGAACCTTCTCCTCCTTCTCCAGTCACACACCATCAGCCCCAGCCAACTCTCCCACCACGACCACCATTTCGCCCAGTCAACTTTCTAACACGACCACCACCCAACTCATCTTCCTCCTCCCCCACCACTTTCTTTGTTTATTATATCTGTCAACAGACGCCTCCTGCCCAACCACCGTCCCTACCTCACCATCATTGCTGAGCAACAATGGCATATTTCTATAACACTAGCTAAGAAACATTACAAATTACCAAGAAAACAACCAAAAAAATCGTTGCAGCTTAGATCTAGATCGACATAACCAAATTCCACCACTACCCAAGCGCCCCTCCACGTATTAGCCAAACTGAAATTTTGTCTTTGTGATTATTGTATTTAGGGGTTTTTAAAACTATATAATATGAAACTTTCATCGATATTTCGAGGTTTTTATTCATCTTTCT